CTAGACCTCCTGCTCCACTATCCCCAAAGTTATGGGTTCAAACACTGGACCCTGGAGCAAGACACTTAACCCAGGTGTCTAACGTCTGCGTTAAGGAGCTTGCAACATTTGTGTGCAATAAGAAAAACAGATATAATCATAACCTTTGAGTGGATTTGGATAAAAGCATCAGTCAGATTAATTAGAAAAAAATAAATTGGACTTAAGACATTACTTACACTCCACAGTGATGATCACATTCTGTGTCACTTTTCCATATTCGTTTTCAGCCTCAAAGGTGAACTGTCCAATATCTCTCCTGGACAGGGGATCATTGGGCTCAATCTCTTGGCCCTCTATCAACCACTGGGTGTCAGGGGGAGGGTTTCCCACAGCTGTACAGAGGTCACTGCTCACAAGAATCTGACCCTCTTTCACAGTGGCGCTGGGAGGACAAGTGATCACAGGTCTATCTGTGGATTGAAGACGGAGTTGGCTTTTGAAAGAAACCATATATGACAGTAGTTCTTTGAACAAAAATGTAAGTATTCTAACAGAAGTACACTTTACATTTGGTCTAAACATTTAAACACCACCCAGAGTCCAATTCTGTTTCTTCCTAGTTGACCAATTGTTTTTGTCTATCAATACAGTAGTTTTATATTTTCAGCAACAAGCGAGCCTTTTTGTTTGATATCAAGATGTGAACATCATACTCACTCACAACAGTCTACCATAAGACAACCATGGCAACCAACGCTTCTGCTGCTTTACCTGTCAATTAATTACCATGACAACACGAACACGAAGTGGCAAGAAATCAGTCCCACCTGTCTGCTGTTAAATCAGTGCTTACTTTGTTTCCACAGGATATTTCACACCCGATTTCCCACTTGTCTCTGCTCAGTTTTAGACAGTCCTTCCCCTACTTTTAGTATCTGTTTTGGATTTTCCCCTGCGCTCTGTTGGTTGTCTTTCTGGTTTTGGCCTTTGCCCGTGTCTGTGCCAGTGTCTGTTCCTGTGCCCATGTCTGTGCCTGTGTCTGTGCCCATGCTCATGCATGTGCCTGTGTCTGTGTCTGTGCCCATGTCTGTGCCCATGCCAGTGCCCATGTCTGTGTCCGTGCTCATGCCCGTGTCTGTGCCAGTGCTCGTGCTCGTGCCCATGTCTGTGCCCATGCCAGTTCCCATGTCTGTGTCTGTGCTCATGCCCGTGCCTGTGCCCATGCCTGTGCTCGTGCCTGTGTCTGGGCCCGTGCCCGTGCCCGTGTCTGTGCCAGAGCCTGTGTCCATGCCCGTGCCAATGCCCGTGCCTGTGTTTGTGCCAGAGCTCGTGCCCATGCCTGTGCCCATGCCTGTGTCCATGCCTGTGTCTGTGCCAGAGCCTGTGTCCTTGCCCTTGCCCATGCCAGCGCCTGTCTCTGTGCCTGAGCCCGTATCTGTGCTTGTGCCCATGCCTGTGCCTTGGATATGTTTCTGGTTTTCCTTTGGTCTTTTCTTAGTGACTCTGAACTCTGTTTGTTTCCTTATCACAGCTTGGACTGTGTTTCAATCTGTTCTCACAACTGACATCTGACTCCCTGCTTACTCCACCTTACACCTGGGTTCACCTCATCGCCTCAGTCAAGCAAGAGCAGCAATTATTATAGCAAATGCATAAAAAATAAAGTATAAACATTATCTCTGAAGCCTAGATAAATTCTTCAAATAAAATTGTATTCAAATAAAATGCTTAGATTCATAAGGCAATTTATCTGTCACACTGAAATCTGGACTTCATATAACCTCTTTTCAATAGAAATGAAACCATTTTAAGCATCAAAAGAGACTTATCCCTTAAAACTGCAACAAATTCACAATGTTATTACCAGGAAAAGGATGAAACAGGGTTCACTGATATTTCATTGACAGACATGATAGAAGTCAATTCATTGTGCTGATTTATATCTGTCATCAAAAGGAATGATCAACAGAGTGCTGTGCATGTAGTGCAGGGTTTCACCACCTCTCCATAGAAACACCAGGCTCCACATGTCATCTCATCCTGCTGAAGATCTTCTCTGTCCTGTTCTTCTCACACAGCTGGGACATACATGTTCCTGTTCACTGGTCTCTAAGCCTTAGATGTTTAGCAAAACATCATCATTTCGACATCGCAAATCATCCCACCAGTGCTCAATGGGGCTCAAGTCTTGTGAGCACGGCATAACAGGTACCGTATAACATTATACCTAGATGAAGTGTACTTGCATGGACTATGATAGATGTGTTGTGAATAAAACATGTCACCATTAGATGAAGTACTACATGTGTGATGAAGAACAATGCTGTTCATACTGCATACAGCTCAGAAATTTTGCAAAGATCTAACATTTGCACTCTGCAGTATGGCACAGTTATATTTTCTAAATTCATGAATGCTTCTATAATAATGTTTAGGACTGTCTGTTTAAAAAGAACTGGATGTTTCTGCATAGTTCATGAAGCTCTCAGAGCTCCGTCACTCCCTCAGACCTATGCTGAACACATTTTAGCAGTAGAAAGAATGGTTAGTGATGCTGACCAAGAAAAATGTTAAAAACCCTTAAACTATAATAATTTGACATAAACACCCTAAAGCATGGCTCCTTACTGAATACAAGATATGAATAAACTCACACAGCACTGTAACCTTCAAGGGTTTTGCCCTCGTTGCAGGAGGGGGCTGTGGTCCTTCTGGTCCCAGGTTGAGCTCTGCCTCACAGGTGAACTGCTGTCCATTGTCAGCTCTGTCAGCGGTGAACAGGTGTCTCACAGACACATTCACAGGTGTTCTAGTAGTGTTGTGAGAAAAGGTCTGACTGTGAATCAGTGTCTGTCCTCTGTACCAGTTCACAGTGAGGTACTGAACGGGAGCAATGTTCTGGACCTCACACTGCAGCTGGTACTGTCTCCCCTCCACCATCTGATCCACTGGGCCGTCAGAGCTGAGAGAGACACTGTCCGGGGACTCTGAAGAAAAACATATGAAACACAATAGCCTTAGAGAGCATTGTGTTAAACATGCTACATGAAGCACACTCATTGAAAATTGGAAGTAGCCACGGGAAAGCATGAGAAAACAATTCAGGGCATCTCTGCCAAAAATGAATTTACACAGCTTATTAGATACACTCATGTCATGTGCTCATGTGCCACAATACTGCCCATTCTCTGCTCCCAGCCCACGTCTGCCCTCCTCTCCCCACGTAGAGGGCAGGAGTCAAGCGCTGAACCTCCCACTGCTTGTTCCTGTCCTCCCTCCCCTGGCTGGATAGTCTGATTGACACAGTTAGGAGAGTCTGGATACACTGGGAAGGCATTTCTGTTAGTTTTCTCATTGCTCAAATTTCTGCTTTTTGTGAAGAATAAGCTCCTGCTTTGGCGAACTTTCAGGTTACATGGGCAGTGTTAAATTACTGCAGTTGCGGTCAATAGAGGAGCCTTTTTGTTGTTGTGTGATTGTGGAGCGAAACACAAACAGACATCCCCCAGCCAGTGGTCTACAATAGGTCAGACTGTTCTCTGTGGAAAATATCAGAAAAGATATCGTTGCCTTTTCCAGCCTTGCTTTTGTGGCTGTCCTGCATCGTGTGATTAAGTTTGAAACTGCCCAGCGGGCTGTAGGTGTATACTAATATAAAGGAATTTAGTATATGCTTCTGTCCAAATGCACAAGAGAGTGTAGGACAAAAGATTAGTTACAAATGAGAGGAGGCCATTCGGCTTGCACAGTGTGGCTTGTCGAAATACAGCCCGTAATTCAGCTGGTGAAGCAGTTTCTCTCTCCGCCTCTTGAGGCAGAATGGCTCTGCTACACATAATAGAACTATCATCACTCGGATTATTTTGGCCAGGGAGAGAACGTGATTTTCCTCAGTGTCTCTTGCCATTTCTGCTAAGCAATGCAGGCCTGTTCGACATTAACCATTGTGGATTTCCCTCACGGGATCAATAAAGAATCTATCTATCTTTCTCCATTCTATTGTCCATGAGCATTAGTAATGGAAAAAAATGCATGGAGAGAACATACATCTATGTTTGATCCTTGCACGTCTATATGATTTAGATGAGGTTAGGGTTCAGCCTCACTTTCCCACAGCCTGACACAGAGGAGCCACATGCTTTGGATAGCATGGAACTATCCCAGCCCTGTCATTCTTCAAGACGACAAGCAACAGTTTCAATTCACAACAATTTAAACAGGCTACTCACTGTACAGACTGATGTTGAGATTCTTCCTGCACTCCCTGGGCTCAGTATTGAAGTCTCCGTAGCACGTAGGCTCTACAGTCCAATCAGTCAGACTGCTGACATTCCAGGTGACAGACTGGACACCTGTTTTCATGCCTGTAGCTCCAACTGGAGCCTCCCAGCCTATTCCTCTGGCTGTCTGTGTTGTAGTGCAGTTCGCTGTCACTGGGTCCCCATATCTCACCACAGCTCTCTGAGGGCTGATCTCAAGTGGACACTCTGGGACAGCTCCTGCAAAACAACAGAGGTAATTTCCTCCAGCAACACTGAAGCACAATGCCCAGAGGCAAGTATCAGTATTACTGACAATAAAACTCTAGTTCTCCCTGTATGTATAATGGAAAAGTTCCAAAACAACACCTTACCCAGATGTGGGATGCAGAGAAGTCCCAGTGCACAGATAATCCATGGATCACACAGCCTCATTCCCTCTCCTGAATATTCCCTTTTTTTTAAAAAAAAAAAGAAGAGAGCACTCAGCACTTTCTCCAAACAGTGTCAGTTGTGAGTATTGTGTCCACAAAAGCAGAGAAGGGGAAAGGAAATACCGAAACGAGGGGCTTTTGTTTTTTCTGCATCGTACCATCTGGCCAACACCCATTGTTTCCTTCCTGAACCATCAGCCTGGATTGGAAGTCAGGGACTCTGGATTCAGAGCTGGAAGCTCCAATGTCCCAGGGTACTGCAGCCTTGAGTAAACACTTCTCTCCGATTTTAGAAAAAAAATGTTATTTTGACATTTATTTTTAGATAAAAGCTTCAACTATCATAATAATGATAATAATCAGTAATACATTTTCTCCCTCTAAACTGGCACTCTGCATGGAAACGCTGACGGAGTGTATCGGCGGTAGACGGGGCTGCATTCCTGCCGAGCCTGTTCACTTCCATTTCCTGTGACAGGAGTTTGGGAATAAGAGCCTTGTCGATGGAGATCTGGGAATGCCACCGATTTCACCCGATCAAATTGTGCCTTTGTCATAAACGATGGTTTTATAGCTCCTTTCATGATGCGGCATCTCGAGATTCGGAATCGCCCCCTTGAGTCCTTGGTTCAGCCTGGGACTGGATTTGTTTGCATTGCTTTTGGCTATGAAATAGCAAGGAGGCTTTGGTTTATCCTATGCAATTCCACAGGTAATTAGGAATTAGGTATTCCGGAGTCCCCAGACAGTTTTAAAAAGTCCTCCAAAGCAATTTATTGGGTTAGCTGGAACTTGAGTTCTGAAATCTGCAATGCATTTTTTTCCAATTTTCTTTTCTTTTATATTCAGCACATGTACAGTAACCAGCACTTTGCAAGCTATTGGTTTTTTCTATACTTTAGACAATGTACTGTATATACATTAACTTCATTAAAAGTTGAATTGCTGTGCTTCATTTCTTTCTAAACAATACTATTAGGTATAAAAAACACACTTTTAATTAATAGAAAACTTTTTATACTCAGATTTTAACTGCCTGAATACCATTCTCTGTTACTGTGCATATGTTATGTAATATAGAAAACTGAAATTAAAAAAACAGAGATTGCCTGATTCTTTCATGTAGGCTTGTACTAAAACAAGTAATGTCATTGTTCCATTCTGATACCGTTGTTGAAAAGCCTTTCTTTAAAGGACTGAAAGATCAATAAAATCAAGAAGTAACATTGGTTTCCCTTGACAGTTTAGGAGCTTTAAAAATAGTTTACTTTTAGCAGTATACTTGGTTATGTCTCCACAAGCTAAAAGAAACACAAACTCTCTCGTGGTTTCTTATGCTTCTGTGAGTTACAGTCTGTCTTAACTAACAGTCTGGCCCCTTGCTCTGAAGGCTCTGAGTGAGTTACAGCTCAGTACAGAACAGTAAGAACAGGGATCTCACCTACCTGTTGGGCGACCTGACACTGTAGAGGCTTGGGGTTCAATACGTGTCCAGTCGATACCAAAAGGATCTAGGCACCCCGTTTCACTGTTATAGAGTGAAGCCACTACCCCTTACACTGGGTGTGTCTGAGGAACAGATCTCACTCACTGCACAAGGGATCCCTGGGGACCTAACCAGGGCAGATCAACATTGTTGATCTGCAGACAGCACTGTGCAGTTGTTCCTGTTGTAGCAGGAATATCAAAAAGTCAAATAATATCCTTGAATCATCCTTTTATACTGTTGCTAAGCAAAAAGGCATATGAGCAAAGGCAAATAGTCACTATATTATACACTTAATGAGAGGTAAATGCTAAAATTCTTCCTCACTAACAAACTGATGCCCTGAGAAGGGAGAAGTCATGTGGGGTGGGAACTTTGGAATCAAAAATAAAAATATAGAAAGCGATCCATACGGATAGGATGGTGTGATGAAGAATGCTTCCGGCCTTTCAATCAGGAATTGTGTCCTCAGTTTTGAAAAGATTAAACAGAAACCAAATCATTTTTTAATTATTTTAATTAGAGATGTAAGACATAAGTGCAATTCAATAGAAAACAAAAGCCAAATGCCTGATACTATGATGTGATTATGGAAAGAGAAGACACCTAGGGCCTCACGAAAGGCTCATAAAGGGGAACAGCAGTGTTTTTCACATTTCAGGGTTAGAGACAATGAGCATTGCTGAATGCATTTTCACACCACAATGAAAGTAAAATGTAAATTGGAGGTTTTACACGTTACTGTGCACAGCAGAAAAGAGACTACATTTCTAGTTATGCACGGTGCCATACCGTACATCCATCATAGTCTGTGATTCAGAACGAGGCAACAGAACCGAGGGTGACATGAAACAGCCCTATTACATTGTAGAGAAGCAGGCTTGTGAATCCATCTCTTTTAATCCACTAGAAATATCTCTCGACTTCGAGACAGTTTTTCCAACAAATACTACTTGTTAACTTACTCGCTTGTACATCACATTACACTAATGATTAGTGACTAGTGAGCAGGAAGGGCCGCATCACATCGCAGTTCATGTGAACTCTTGCTTTTGTCCCTGGCGAAACCAGCGGTCTGTGACAACATGGCGACCATTCAGTACTTTCACAAAGTTCACGATTTTGTGCTTAATTTAGAGTTTGTAAAATTTTGCAATACCATCAATTAATTAATTTTGTTGCGGACATTTGATTACCTGTCTGAGAAATTGGGACTACATTCCCCTTTAAGCAACAAGATGTAGCTTAACCATGCATAAGGCTATTAAATGTATCATTTGCTGTAATAAAACACTACTTATGCGCATGATGTACAATAGAATGCATTTTGGAAATAAGGCATGGGTTAATTTGTCCCTATTACATACGCAAAGCATGCTAATTTATGCAAAAATGTGTAGTGCTATACTGAAGCTCTAATGAGGAAAACAATATGTACACATCATTCACAGAAAGGTTCTCACCCTGAGGAGTGCCTTACGATACTGATGGACTATGACTACAGGTAATAAGAATATATATCGATCATAGAAAATAAGCTGCAATGCGCTAATGTATTTAATTCACTACAGAATGCAGAAAGGCACCAATAATCAATTTTAAAGGAAGGACTGTAGCAAGTTTCCGGACCATAGTGAATCTCACTTTACATATAGCAATAAGACATGAGAATACAGGGTTTTCTGGGAGTGTGTTAGGTGGCTACTGTTTATTTTTAGTTGAGCAGAAGCAAGTGTTATGATGTTGGGCTTGTCCCTCTTCCAAATCCCATTTTTAAATTCTGCCAGTCCTTCTTCAAAGCTGTCTGCGCACGTCCGTAGCCTCTGGCACACCTGGGGGCTCTGTGCAGTGTGAGCCGGGATGCTGCGTGTGGCTCCTGGGAGTTCCCTCCATTTAATAACCCAAGAGCAACGCCGCTAGCACAAATCCCACTACAATCCCGCTGGTCTTCCCAGGTCCGCAATCTAATACGAAAAAAAATCACACCAGGCCATTAATACGCGTTAAGGCGCACCCTGAGAACGGACACCTGGCTTCTTCACGCGAAAGAAATCTCGGATTCCCCAGGCTGAGGCTGCTGCTGGGTCGGATTTAAACTCCTAGGGCTGGGCTCACAGCAAAGAGAAAGAGCTGTCATTTCATGCCAGGAGAATCATCGCAGTGGCCACAGGGTTCCAGGGGTGTTTAAACACCCTCTAGTCCTCAGCAGAGGAAGACAGGAGGTGTCTACCTGCACCTGGACTGTAAGACTAGGGTCCAGGACAGAAGGAGAAACGCACTGGTAGCTGGGAGCCCATCAGGATAGATACTGTAGGTCCATTTCAAAATGGGACGGGCAGAATCTGGCAGAATTAGATGGCGTGAAGAAAATGGAAGGCTTTAGGATTGTGGAAAAGGGAATGAGAGTTTAAGGGAAATGGATTAGGTTTCACCCTTTCAATACAAACGCAGTGCAAGAGAGACAGGCGCAATTCATACAATCGGAAATTAGCACGTGGAAAATGCCAAGTACAGAAGAGAACATGCAGAGCTTTATAGAGTGTGGGAAGGACCAGTATAAGGGAAAGCACAGAGAGTACGTGGACCTTTTTCAATGTCACAACAACAAAAGGTCAGTTAAAAAAACCTGTACAGGACCTTGCAGGAACAATACAAATACAGTAGGTCTACTCCGGAGAAGAGCGTCCATGGCAGGAGTTCACACTGGACATTTTACACAAATGCTGGGGGTAAGATGAATGTCCAGCAGCTTAACAGACTTGGCTACAAATGTTCTTCAGCAGCCCAGAAGATGAGAAGTTAAAGGGAGCAGGAAGGTACTGTTGCTGTTATTTTACCTCTTTCTGCACAAAGACACATGGGACATCTTTTATGTGTGATTCACCGAGATCATTCAGGAGCTGTGACTAAGACCATTCCATAAACTGAATAAGTCCTGTCTCCCTACCTCAATCACAGCTAAAGGTATTAATATACGGTATACACCGTCTTTCTAAGATTTTACAGAAGTCAAAGTTTGCCTAATTCAACCTGTTTAATTTCTGTGAGCAAGTCACTCCTGCAGTGGATGACTTTGAGGCTATATCTGGATATGTGTTAAAGTAATTTCTGAAAGATTAATCTTCAGACAGAGGGACAGGTGAACTGTGGGAAATCGCAGAACATCCCTCGTTATTTTGCTTCCGAGGCAGACCTGAACCCTGAGACCTGAAGCCGGTAGCTGAGGGTGCAGATTTGTATTTTTTTAATATACCTGTGAGACTGGAGATTATTCTCCCCTGTTTGGGCCGACAGAACCAGGCTTTTTCTGCACCCTTTTCCCTAATCCCAGCTCTTCTCTCTTTCCTAGTGTCGACAAGCCGCGATTTCCATTCTTTGCCAAGAAAATAGGTCTGTTTAAAGTTAAAAGAGTCTGAATGTTTTACCTGGGCTCCGATTGTTGTCTCGGGGGCTGGTCGTTGTCGATGCTGTAAAAAAGGAGAAAGATTCAGTGAAGCAAGGAGGAGCCTATGTACTCTCTGTACCTGTAGTAACTGGGGGGCATGGATACTGTATTAGGTTTGGCTGCTTTGAATCCATTTTGGATCTTGTTGTCCAATTCCTGTCTACCAGGTGCCGCCTATAATTGCAGGCTGCTGACACTGTTACTGCACTGGTATATGATAACATCACTTTATTGGCCATATACAATTTCTTGTATTAGGAATTTGTCTTTTCGTATGCAGCTTATATAGCTGTATTGTTTGAGGCTCAAACAATAAGCTGGAAGAGAAAAACAAAATCACTAAAAAAAATTAGAAAAGCTTTTCTTTTGACAAATTGTTGTTTAAGGGCCTTCCCTGTGCTAGCTGACAGGCCTTCGCACATGAAACACTTCCAAAGCCAATATAAATTAACAGAACTAAAAGAATGAAAGAACATCTTTCACTCCTTCACACCCTATCCACATTAAACCACAAACTAACCTCTTCTTACATACAAACGTCACACAACACAACAGGATATATTGGAACAAAAACCCCACACTCAACTTTCTCCAGTGACACACCCTTGTATACAGGAATCCTGGCATTTAACTCCATGTGAAAACTCTGCATGCCAAAAGATTTTAAGAATAACACAAGCATTAACTTAATGATACACAGGTGACTATAATCAAGGATTTTGAAGCTGTCTCCCAAGTGACCTCTAGCGGCGACTCTGTTGTAATTACACTCCTTCTGGAGGGCTCCCCTGCCGCCTTGCTCCAGACAGCTAGAAGAATAGAAGTTACAAAAGACAGGAGGCCGTTCGGCCTCTGTGATCAGAGGATCTCATACACCCATTTCTAAAAATTAACAAGGGTATCTAACCAGTATAACCAGTATACTGACTAGTGCGTATCCATCAGCTAGACAGGGTACACTACCTCTGGACATCTATCAGCTAGAAGGGGTATTTACTGACCACTGTGTACCTGTCCTCTACACATTTATACTGACCACTGAACACCTGTCAGCTGGACAGGGTATACTGAACACGTTCGTGTTAGCATACAGCATTGTCACTAAAAGCCATCAGTCCTCCAGGCATTGCTAACTGCGCTCAAGAGCTGGGAGTATATAAAAACAGAAGTGCACTCTTTAATGGGTACGTACACAGCCTTTAAACTTTCCGGTGTCAATACAGAGCCTAAACATTATTCTGTATTATATTGATTGACCACTGATGACTCAGGGAGGTATAATTAGAAAAGTATGTAAAACTTTTATCAGCTCATATACAAATTCCCTACTTATTTGTAGCCCAGAACTGAAACAGCAGATACTTACAAGACTTGATGTGGATTTTCAGTTTCTCTTTACAGTCCAGGGGTGCATTGGTGAAGTTGGCAACACACAATACATGAAGATTCTCTACATTGATCAGATTAGTGACATTCCAGACCATAAACTGTACACCAGGCTCTGGGGACCGGGGAGAGACAGTAGAGTCCCAGGACAGAAACAGAGGTTTCCGTCGCGACGTACAATTAACTTTTACCGAATCTCCAGGACCCACAAACACCTCGGGAGGAGAGAGCATCAACCCACAATTGGCACCAGCTCCTGGACAAGAACAGCAATGAACAAATACAGAAGCACAGGGCTTTTTCAATGAATCACAACTAAAATAAAGACATTGCACGACACAAAGATATTGATTCTGTTGTGTTTAATTCAACTACATACACTACCAGTGGACCCATTTGAAAAGATCTTCAAACCCAGAAATCCCAACCAGAGAAAAACTACTTACCCAGTTCACAGAAGAAACAGGGCGTGAGGACACAGGTCAGCCACACACCACTCAGCCTAATGTTGTTTCTCCTAAAATGTCCCTTTTCTCAGAGATCAGAGAGTCCCTAGTCTTCCTTCCACCAGCTACTCTGTGTCCAGCAGAGACAAAGCTGACAAAACAAATTGCTTCACACCGCTCTTTCAAGCTGGAGTTGAGTAGAAGTGTTTTTGGGAAAGTAGAGTCCACCCTTCCTTCCTTTCTGTAACATGTACGACAAGAGACGCTCTGGACTGATTTCCCACTGGAGTGGCTTTGGAGAAGGACCAGCAGCCCATAAGGAAAACCTCGCACTGTTAGTTTACAGTGGCTGACCTTGCACTGCCATCTAATATCGGCCACATTCCTGACACACCCTGCTGCTGCAAAAACTGGAGAAGAGAGTCACTTAGAGGGAGATCAGCCTGCAAATAAACAGGCTGGGGGCTGTGGTCCAGATCTGCCCACAGATCAGCAGGCTGGGGGGCTGGGGTCCCCATCAGCCTGTTGGGGACCATGGCTCAGATTGACCCGCTGGGGCTGTGATCCAGATCGGCCAGTGGATCAGCCCACTGGAGGTTCTGGTCCAGATCAGTCCAAGGATCAGACGGCTGGTGGCTGTGGTCCAAATTGGCCTGCAGATTGGCCCCACTCTAGATCAGCCTGCAGATCGACCCGCTAGGAGCTGTGGGTCAGATTGGTCCGTGGGTCAGCCCGCTGGGCTCTGTGATCCAGATCGGGCCGTGGGTCAGCCTGCTGGGGCCTGTGGTTCAGATCGGGCTGTGGATCAGCCTGCTGTGGTCTGTGGTTCAGATCTGACCATGGATTGACTGGCTTAGGGCTGTGATTACAGAGTGCTATCATGTAAAATGTAAATCATGGGACCACACTACCTGCTCAGTATCTTTTCAATGTTCAGAGAGTTTGCTCATGACATGTTTTGCTCACTTTGCTTTCAAATACAAACGGAAATACACTGGCCCTCCACAGAGTGGGGAAGGAGTCTAGCAGACAGGTGCCCTTATAATCAGCAAAAATGGCAAAAATACATAAACTTATTTTCAGGTGCTAGAACCTGCAGTGTGAAAATGTCATGATTTCAGTGACATAATGACTATTCATACTGGTGAAAATGTTCATTCGAATTATCATGAAGTAACTTCATACAAATAATTTCTTGCATTTATGTAGTGATTTCCATCCCACATGATCTCTAAGCTCTGTGTATGTAGGAGGTGACCCAGTTTATCCACCACTGAAGTGCAGCCCCACCCATGTGTCACCCAGCAGCCACCTTGTCCGGTCGTAACCTTTGGTTATGAAATGAAAAGCCTTGTCCCTGCAGAAGTAGGATATGTAACGCCGCTGCTCGTAGCTGGTCTCGAGAAGAGCCCAAGTCTTTGGAGGAATAGGCGACTGAGCAGGCACAGGCTAGTGAGGTATGAGGCAAGCAAAACGCAGCCCAGATTCGCAGTCAGGAAACAAGCAAGGGTCAAAGCCAGGAGACACGGAGACACAGCACATAAGGCACATCCTAGAGGGGGGTCTAACAAGCAAGCGAGGTTCAAAGCCAAGTGTTTCACAGTTCAGAAATAAAAGGAAAAATCCAAGAGACAAGGTCAAAATGAAGCAGGGTCAGAGTCCAGGGGGAGCCACAAGGAGGGATTGCCAATTTGAAACACAAACTGGCTTAGTGTCTAGAGTGCTATCTAGGCAGGACTTAAATAACCTGCTCCACCTGAGATGGGAGTAGAAGTTATTTGGCACAGGTTGAACAGGCTTCCTGTCCAACTGTGTAACCACGGCAACTGGCTGACTGACAGGTGAGTTAGAGGCGTCGCTGGCTGCTGTGGTAACATTAGCTTGCACTCTAGCACTCCAGCATGACAGTATCAAGAAATAACAAAACTGTGTGTCTGTCTTCTCAGTCCCAAACGTGGCTGGCATGGCAATGATGTATCTTAGAAACCAGTGGAAGCTGTTCTTCTATTGACAAAGTTAAAACTCTACAGATAAATCAATCAGCAATCTAATGTTGGTATAAAAATACATGTATATAAGCCACAGATACACAAGAACTATCTGAAGCAGGGGTCTCCAACCCTGGACTGCAGGTTTTCATCCCAGCTCAGCTCTTAACTAAGTCAGTCAGCTTAACTGGTCCAGTTTAACAGTTTCACCCAGCTTCTCGGGTGGTGTTGCTTTAATTCAATTCAAATGCTTTATTCATCCCCAGGAGGGTAATTTAAGAAAATGTCAATATAGTGTACAAATTAAATGTTATTAAAAGACATGAAACACCTGCAGACACACTGACCCTTCAGGAGCAGTCCTGGTCTAAAATACATCCCAGTAATGACATCCCAGTAAAGAAAAATACATCCCAGTAATTTATTATTTTAACCCTATTTATTTGTATTAGGAACAAGTAATAGGTTTATTCCATGCTGAAAAAAAGAAGAAAGAGAACACAACGTTTCGGCCGTGGAGCCTTCTTCAGGTGTGAGAGCCTGAAAAGGTGTGTTTAAGGTGTGTTTAAAGGTGTGTTTATTTGTATTATGTGACTACAGAATTTTGAAATATCAAAGATATATTTTGCATTCTTGTTTAATAACATTTTTTGCGATTTTGCATACATTTGTTAAATAGGTTGTACAGGTAGTATCACATATTTTTAACTTGATATTACCACATTAGAACAGTGGTTCTTAACCTGGGGTGCACACATTCCCTGGGGGGGTGAGATGCCCTTTCTGGGGGTACAAGACATGCCTGGGTTTTTTCGAAGGTAAATCATCAAAAACAAATTAAGCACAGACATGTAAGTACAACCGCTTTGTTTCATCAAACCTTTGTATTTTAAGGTAAACATCAAAAGTGTGTTTTTTTCCATGTATTCTTAATTTTACTGTGAAATCAACAGAATATAACATTCTGCCCTTTTCATTCTATAGCTATCTCAGGTTTAAAGAACTGACTACCTTCTCTGCGAGAACAGATTTTGAGGACCAGAGTGCAACCAGCAGGGTGCAGGCTGAGGTCAATGTTAAGAGCCACTGCTTTAGGATATAAATGCTTTCATCTTGTAATAATCTCTACTCTATAGCTGCCAGAGACACTGTCTGCGTGCTTCAATATGAGAGGCAGAATATTCTAATTCAAGCTGTATTTTTGGGGGTACAAAAAAGCACAGGTTTTTGGCTATGGCTGAGAAGTTCAGCGCTCTGACAATTTGGCTATTTCCAGGAGCAATTTTCTTTTTTCTAATTCAAGTTTTTCAATCTCTAACTTGATCTTCTTCTCCTCCAGAAACAGGATGCGATTCATTTTCTCCAGGGCCGCTGCTATGGCAACATTCACATCTGGCAATCCCTGGATCATTTTTCCCAGGTCAGACACATCTAAGTTTTGAGCTGTCAAAATATGTAAATACAAAATGATTTAAAGAGAACGCAATATTGAATTCAACAGAGACAATACATTCCGGTACATGTGTGTGATTTACAGACTTGTCACCACAATGGAAAGAGGAACAGGTTTTCAATACACACGCCATTATAAAAATACATTTATAATTGTTTGCAGCAATGATGAAAGTTTTTAGTTTTAGAGTCATCTATAATGAACTGCAGTAAACTGTCTTCAAATAATATAATTAGTGTAATACTATCATCCAGGTGGATGCTGCACATTGGTGGTGGTGGAGGGGAGTCCCCATTACTTGTAAAGGGCTTGGAGTGGAGTGTCCAGAAAAAGCACTATATAAGTGTAAGCAATTATTAATAATTATTATTATTAAAGTGATTATAGAAACTATGTCATTCTTAATGTGACTTTCATTATAGCTGGGCTGTAAAATTTAAGCCTGTCATAAGAAAGAGGACTGGCTGATATTCTTAATTAAGACCAGTTTGCATTTTATCAACACTGACATTGAAGCCTCTATCACAGTAAAAGGCAACAATAGTTCCAGCAGTTAACGATCAAATTAACTACACTTATTAAGATAACAGCCTGTGGTTCAGAAGTTGAAATAAACAGCTGAAAAGTACAGAAGCGGGCTCAGTTCTGGTATTGTCTTCTTAGAAAGGACCTAACAAGTATGTGTCCTGTGTATGTTCAAGGTATGCACGAGCTGAGATGAACTCATGCAGACAGGAACTCCACCTCCACTTTCAGGTTTCTGAGCCTTGGACAGCATGCAATGCAATTATGATATAGTTCTGGATATTCACCGCCGTAACAGAATATGAACAAATAGTCTGTTTACTGATGGTCTGTAGGGTGAAATCAAATATGCTCACACCACAACAATGGGATTCACAATGGGATTCACAATGGGATTTCTGTTCTACAGACTGATCAAAAAGAATAGTTTGCATTGTTCTGCAAAATAACCAAGTTAATGTTGTAGAAACTCACACAGTCCAATACCCCTCAAGGGTTCTGCCCTCTTTGCAGGAGGGGGCTGTGGTCCTTC